TTAAACATTTAGTATTAGCCCTGCCCTTAATATTGTTTTGGAACAAAGTTATCCTTTTTTTTTTTGAAGCTACCATATTGGTACTACTGAAAGAACTTATCTGCAGTAACCCTCTGACATGTAGAAATGTTAGCAGGTTTAGATCAACATGTGCATATATGAACTAAATCCCTAGTAGCAATATTTTATCATTTAACCTCATATAATGTATATATATATGCTTTTTAATATTTTTAACTTTTTATTTTGATTTGGATGAAAGTTTCCAAAGTGAATTAATTTTCCATTGAACAATTTATACACATTTTTATCTGTGACATTGTTTGATTCCTCACAAGATGGAAGCGCTTTCCCCTGTGTTAACTGTTTTCCTCTTAACCACTCCTACTTTCTGAAACGTATTCCTGGGCCCATGCTACCCTTTTGATCACAAATTGCTGATTATCCTAAAGAGTCCATGTCTACCTAGCGTTACTGTTCATGTTAGGGGCCTATCATTTAGCTGAAAGTTCAGCCACTTGGGTGAGTTTAGTTCAAGCACTGAGTGCCTGAGGGCCATAGTCTCCGGGGATAATACCGTTCTTTTTATTCTGCTTCAGAACAGTAGTAAATGTATAGGTTTGTTTGATAGTTTGAGTTTTCCACGTTTCTCTCATTCTATATCTTGTGATCCTTTTAGAGCGTTCAGCAGTCAGCCACAGTCACACACCATGTAGTTCTTCTGGTCTCAGACAAGGATTCAACTGGTCCGTTAGGCCTTTGGACTTTTGGTTCCTTTACTCTTTGGTTTTCTACATTCTTCTTTGCTCTGAATTGCAAAAAAAATAGTTGCATTGTTCCATTATTCTATGTGTCTTTCATTTTATCAAGAGCATACTCTTTTGATTAGGATGGTTGTTCACTAAATTTTGAGATCAGTGAACGTGAGGTCTCCTCCTTTATTCTTTTTTAGTAGTGCTTTTCTTATCCAGAGTCTCTTTCCTTACAGTTTTCCCAATTATCTGTGTGTGTATCTATATACTGGTCCATCTATATGTGCATATGCACACACGCATACCAAGCAAAGCTCAGTCATCAAGTTGATGCTGACTCATAGCGACAATATAGGAAAGGGTAGAACTGCCCCTGTGAGTTTCTGAGCGTGTGATTCTTTACAGGAGTACAAAGTCAGTCTCTCTTCCTTAGAGTGCCTGGGGTTCTGAACGGATGACCTTGAGGAGCTGGCCCAGTGTATAACCACAACACCCCCTGGGCTGAACAGACTCGTATGCACACTTTGTTTACGTACTCCTTACTTCAGGGAACTGTTTTGTTTAGAGATAAGGAAGAAACTTGATTTTCTTTGCAGGAAAGTATAAAATTGAAGCAGAAACTTAAGACATGACCAGGGGTTCTTTATTCACCCACTGATAAGACCAGGTAGAGAAGTATTAATGTAGTGTATTCTTGGCCATTGGTTTTATACAGTATTAACACTGACGTAGGTATTAATGTATACTACTAGTTTAATAAGGTTTCCAATGGGTTCCTTCTAAGTGGGGACTTGAGTCCTTCTTCATTGTCTGTTCTTAGTCTGGAAGCTCCGCTGGGACCTGTTCACTTTGGGTGACCCTGCTCGCCTTTGAAATACCAGTGACAAAGCTCCGAGCATCACAGCCACACACAAGCCACCACAGTACTCATCCAGGAAGTGGGAGAAGCGTAAACAGCTAATGCATGTTTTCCCTGTGGAAGTTAAATATACAGACCATTCTATTCTATCTGTATAGAATGTTATACTATACAACTTGGACTTTAAGTAAAGAAGACCACAGAAGAAAAGATGCATCTGAATTGTGGTGCTAGAGAAGAACACTGAAAGTACCCTAGGCTGTTAAAAGGTCAAACCAATCGGTATTGGAAGAAGTAGGGCCAGAGTGCTCCTTAGAGGCAAGAATGGCAAGCCTTAGTCTTACGCACTTTTGATTGTCAGGAGAGACCCGTCTCTGGAGAAGGATAGCATGCTTGGTAAAGTGGAAGGGACGTGGAAAAGAAGACCTGTTAGATCTCTGTAGCTATATATACCCCGGTCCTTGGCTCCATGTAAGAAAGAATTCATGCCGAAGCCTGGTTCATGATCCAAGTGAGTTTTATGAGAATTAGAAGTTTCAGGTTTACAAGGCACCGGACTCCTCCCCAGCATGCGGCCTGACTGGAAGCAGCTTGGTGCCCTGCAAAAGTGTCCCAAAGTCCCTCCACAACTCTCTGCTGAAGTTCCCAGAGTTCTGCCGCTCAAGCCCCTCCCCACTCAGGGCTTCTGCCTTTTCAAGGATTCCACGGGGAGGCATGGTGGAAGACCCCTGATCGACCCCATTGGCTGAATTGAATTCAAGTTCACGCCCACCCCTGCCTACCTGCAGGAACCCGAGCCTCTGGGCATGTGCAGTGCGCCACTCCTTTGTACCCCTAGCTTGGCCCTCTGGGCACGCGCCTTAACGGGCATTCCCAGCTCTGGCTAACCTACCTAACAGACCCTCGATGAGATGGATTGACACCTTGGCTGCAACAATGGGTTCAGGCACAGAGCAGCTGTGAAGATGCCCCAGGACCGCGCAGTGTTTCCTTCTGTTGTGCTTAGGGGCACTAGGATTTAGAGCCAAATCCATGGCTAACGCCTGTTTTAATTAACTTAAGTCCATTTTAGTTCATGAAGCAATAGCTTTTAGGAATTGAAATTGGGTTTTTAAAACATCTCCTGGTCAGAATTTGCAATAATCTCTGCTCTTATTTTATGTCATAATTCTTGATTGTAATTATGCTTTTTATAAGGCTACAAGCTTTATTCCATGTAATAAAAAGATAAGGGCATTTATATATTTAAATATGCTTGTGCTTAAAAGGTAACACGTTATTTCTGAGAAGTTAGTGATAAAGTGATATAAAATCAAAGTTATTTTGTTTAAAATAAAGGCTTTTTAGATACCCGATATTTATCCGTATACTTATTTAATATGATTATTAATTTTATTCATAAGACCCGAGATAATACTGATTTTATTATTTGAAACATTTATTGTATGTTATGAGGCCTTTGCATTAAATTAAGATCATCTATATTCATAGTGTTTTGAATTCCCTAAAGATACTCATTTGTTTGCCCTACCACCAATGATTGTATATCTTCTTTTTGATACCTTTGCAATTATTTGTCATGTGCCTTGTATAAGGAAAGTGTAATAGAAAAACATTTCTCTACATGAAAAATGGTAAATATAAAATGCACATATTTCTTCTTCTGGTAAAACAAAGTAGAGTACTCAAGCCCTATTCTTTTAGTTCATTATATGTTTCAATAGAAGTACATTTATACCCTTAAGGACTGTATTAACATTTTCAAAGTAACAGAATTGTTTAATGTTTTACAACAATTCCACTCAGTAATTAGAATTCCTATTTCAGGTCTAGAGTGTTGCTAGCTCAATGGAATGATATCTAAGGAATTTAAAGAGTTCTCAGTGTACATACAAATAAGCTAACATTTGACTCTCTCTTCATGCATAAAATATTCAGTTACATGGTAAACTATAAGTTTAACAACCACTTAGGCCATAACCTATTTTTCTGAAAAGCTTAACTGTTTTGCAATTCTGTTGTCTACTGTAAGAGCTCCCACTGGCTAGGAATCCAGCGTCCAATATCCTCAGTGTACTCACTCACTTCCTGTGTTTATAATCATTCATGGAGCCCCAAGGAACCCTGCTGATACAGTGGTGAAGGCATTCAACTGCTAATGGCATGGTAGGCAGTTCCAGCCCATCAGCTTCCTTAAACCTTTAGTTTTGGACCCTCAAGGGGTAGTTCTGCTGTGATCTGCAAGGTCACTGTAGTCAGAATCCAGTAGGAGGCAGTGAGGGTGGTTATTCAGTTGGGAATGAAGCCTTGCTTGAAGGCATTCATTGCCTCACAAAGCATGCATGAAAATGCTGTGCTTTATTCTATGCATATCATCTGTCCAAGTCATTATCTGGCAGTCCATTAACATCTCAGTCTCACTGAAGGTTATTTTACTTACAGCTAATTGGAGGTTAACATTCTCAAAGAGTCAATTGAGGCATGCCTGAAAATAAGACTTGAGTAGAAAATGTACACCCTCCCCTAACAGGTATACACATTTTAAGATTTTGATATTTGGTACCAGCACACATAGGAATATAGTACTAAAACATGGATTATGGTCATTGGAAAAGATGGAATCAGAACCCTATCAGGGTAAAGAGTTATATAATTAAATACTAGGAAAAAAAGGGTTAAGAAGAAAGACCTATCTCCCTGCTAGCGTTGTTCTCCTTTTTTCTCTCACATGGTTGTACAGGCAAACTAACTTTTGCCGAATGTGATTTAACTAACATTGTTGCAATACCCCCAATTTCACTTCCACACACATAAATCACACCTAATGAGGCTCTGATTCGTTTTGGATGGGGATGATTCTAGATTACATAGGTTCAATATTATAGAGCCTGTCACCCAAAATGAGCAGTTACAAATGTTGTAACAGCAGAAGGAGGGGCTTTTTCACATTTCTTTGATGGGTTCCCATTCAAAGTGCTGTCACTTGCTTTACTGGATTGATGCAGTCCCTTAATCTTGCTTCAAAACCTGCACTCGAATCCATGTGGCATTACGGATGTCAAAGCATCCACATACCAGTATAAGGTGATGGAAATCTTACAGTGAAAGTGGTGAAAATTGAAGGAACCAGTCTTAGACCTTTTAAAGTCCTTGGGAAGGAAGGCAGGATGTCTCCAGTTGACCCTATTTTTTCATTAAGGAAGTGGAAGATGTCAGAGAGCTACGGGCTTAAGCTGTAGATCAATGGAAGAAGGCCAGCACACTAAGTGGAACTAAAGATTTTAAACAAGTATAATTTATCAAAATTTCATCTAAGAAAATCTTTGAAAATGCCTAATAATGCCTAACAGTGCCCCAGAACATTTCAATAGTTTTAAAATCAAGTCATCAGACTTACCTGGCAGGGGACAGACCATGATCACGAAGGTGGTTTTCCCAGGGTGAGACTCATCCACTGCACTCCGGATGTGCTGACCTCTGTGCGTTCCCCAAATGTAGAAATTCAAGTGCACAATTTGTGGTAGTGGGGCACTGCGTCCATGCTCTCCCCTGCATTTAAGTTAGAAAAAAAGAAAAGCACAGCAAAATCAAATCATAATATGATGGTAATTAAAAAAATCATCTCATTTCATCAAGTTGATTGATGATACCCCTAGAGTCCCTATCAGGCCAAAATTTAAATATTTCTTTGTCTGTACCAGTACACATTCACCTCCACATAAAGGTCATGCTGTTATTAATAATCCTACAAAATAAGACAGAGCTATTACTAATGAGAAATCTGGCTATATTTATTAAACAAATCATCTCTAAAAACAACTTAACAGTCTTATAATTTAGAAAAAAAATTTCAAAACAACTTATGAGTAAGAAAATTTATAGCAGCTCTGTCCTTTGATAAGTGCTAGACTGGTATCTGATAGGTTGACCATTTGAATCCCAATCTGCTTCCAAAGCCACGTCTATTAAAATCCCTATGGATCACAAGTCTATTCTAAAATACATGGGTGCCCCATAGTCAGACCTGACAATGATGACTGGTTATTTGCTTGCTTGCTTGTTTTTATCTTTGTAACATTTGTTGGTTATTAATATGGAAACATAAAATGATGAAATGCCTGTATAACTGTCTTTAAATATAACATAACATTTCAAACATTTAATGTTACCTCACACACATGATTTTATTCAGACAAATAAGAATAACATGGAACCTAAAATCATGGGCGTTGGAGTCACATTGAGTTGGGTTTAAATCTAAAGTCTTTACATAACAACTAACTTTATGAAAAATGGGGTTAGTGAAGTACATCCTTAAATCAGGATGTGTAGATAAGATTTAAGTGAGGGCATGTGCAAAGTAGTATATTTATGCAAACGCAATGCACTTTAGCTATTATTACCATCATCGTTGTTATTATCATCATCATTATTTCAGAGATTAAGAAGTTGAATTTGAGAGAGTAACTGGCTTTTCTATGGACACACAAATAAGACATGTGCTGTAGGACAAGCCTAGTTTTATTTTCCATTTTACAAGGTTTAGTTTCTACAAATATGGAGAGTTTTTATCATGAACAAGTTCCTAACTCATTATCTTCTACAGCTGCATTCAATTTTACTAAGAGAAATTGCATTTATATATTATGTGGCATTTTCATATGCTTGGATGGGCTTTCCAACTATTGTTCTTTCTGGTTAAAACTTAAGAAAAGTCACAGATACAGCCTTCCCTGTGTAATTATTTACCTACATTGAGACAGGTAGCCTGCTAGACCAAATTTTCTTTCTAGGCTAATTTTGGTTTTCTAATTTCATGATCATTTTTCTGTAAATATAATTTCCACTGAAACCTAGCTAGATTTATTATTCTCTTACAGATAGGTGGAGATTTTTAGTTGATTTTAAGAACATATCAAGAACTAAGCATTTCATTTCTATTTCTGGCCTGAAAATAATTCCAGTAAGACACAATTTTAGGATCCCAAGAGTGCTAATTCTCTAGTGCCGTAATACTTTTTTATTGCTGCAAAACAAAATACCATAAAGCTAGTGGGTTCAAACAATTCCCGTTTATTATCTCACAGTTTTGCCTGTCAGCCGTCTGGCAAGGCATGCTGGGTCCACTCCTCAGGCTGAAATCAAGGTGTCAGCTGCTGCATTCTCATCTGGAACGTGGGGTTCACACTCACTTCCATTGTTGGAAGAATTCCGATTCTTGCAGTACTAGGACTAAAGTCCTTATTTTTCTTGCGGTGTGTCTGCAGAGACCACTCCTTGCTCATAGAGGCTGTTCTCAACTATTTCCTCCATGCCTCCCACCTCAGCAACAAAGAGCCTCCCTCGCATACGTTCATTCTCTCTGATTGACATTTCAACTAGCAGCTGGAAAAAAAATGCTCTGCATTATAGGAATTAATGAGATTAGGTTAGGTTGTATTCATCCAACCTCACTTCAGATTACCCCCAAGGCCTGATTGGTAATCATAATTAAATCTGGAAAAATTCCTTTTTCGATATAAAGGCAGAATGGCATATAACATGCTCAAAGGTAGAATGCAGAAGAATTATGCATTTGAATGATGGCATTGGTGAAAAACATTGAAAGTGCCCTGTATTTCCAAAAGAAGGGCAAAAAGCTCAGTTTTAGGAGAAGTACAGCCAAAATGCTCCGTAGAAGCAAGGATAGTGAAACTTCTTACATACTTTGGACATTTTATCAGGAGACACCAGCCCTTGCAAACCAACATGCTTGGTAAAATACAGGGTCAGCAAATAAGAGGAAGACACTCAAGTAGATGGATTGGCACAGGGGCTGCAACAATGGGCTCAAAAAAAAAAGAAAAAAGACTAATAATGGTGAGCCAGGTGCAGGACCAGGCAGTGGTTTTGTTCTGTTCTACGTGGGGTCTCTATGAGGCTGAGCCCACACTCAGGAAGAGACTTCACAAGGGTCAGGAGCTTAGATTTCTGCTTTTCCCAATGCCCTAGTGGATTTTGTACTAGCATATGTACATAGATATTTCTACATAGATCTCATCCTCTTCCACTTTCAACAGCTTCTTCCCAATTTCCATGTCTCCCTAGTGTCATATAAGTTTAGTTATCAACATTTGTTAGCTTTCTTTTCAAATAAATTTTATGTGTGTCCTTTTTAGCTATAATTTCATTCTGATATATTATGGGTCAAAATATGGGACCATATTATGGGACCATATTTTTCACTCCTCTTCCATGTAAGTTCCCTCTTCCCTCTATAATGAACTTAATCATGAAAAGCAATGATTGTGAAGGGCATTACTGCTATTTAAACTAAAGAGGATTGGTTTTCTACAATATTAAAGCAAACTTTCATTGGAGACTGTCATGGCCAACTTTTTTTTTTTTT